ATTACAAACTCAGGCCTTGATCTTGCCAACCACGGGAAATTTTCAGCCATGAAAACCTCATGGGACAAGAAATAAGAAAAAGGAAATAAATAAGAAATGAAAATTAAGAAATCCCTCTTAAAGGGTCAACTGAGAGCATCACACATCATCCAAAGCGTTCAGTAGAGACTTTATAAAAACTCCAGCTTAGCCAGTCTCTGTAATACTGATTTGGGGTTTTTTAGGGATTTTGTTTTTCAGGAAAACCTAAAGAAGGGGAAGGAATTAGGCAATGGGTTATTCTGGGATGTCCCTGTGCCGGAGATGAGCTCTCCTCCCGCACACGTCCTCGTGCCACATCAGCAGCTGTCTGCAAGCCAAGGACTGGGGAGATGCCTATGGCTGGAAAAACAGCTCCTTCTGTATTTATTGGACTTCCTACCAGCTGGAAAATCCCAAAGATCTGCACCTCCAGGGGCTCCTGCAGCTGGGGGAAAAAGTCTTCCTGTGAAATAAATCCGTGTGATGCCTAAAATGCCTGTGATGAAGGCAGCATGGAGATGTTCCTGCCCCCAGAATTATTTCTCCAGACATGTGGCAAGGTCAGTTCATAGCTGTCCCATCTAGAAAACCCCAGGCAGACCTGGGGAATATGGAGCTATGTATCAGAAAATAAATAGCTCAGCTGCTTTTTGGGGGCAGAGCAAAAACCACCTTGATCCTCTCTGAGCCACGAGCAGGTGAAGGTTAGGTTGTAAAAATGAAATCTGTGTTCTCCTGACTTGGATCCCCTCAGTTTAAATCCTCTTGAAATGGTGCTTGCAGCAGGAAAACCCTGCTTGGTGCTGGAGCAGGATGAGTCCAAACCCTGCAGGAGCCAGGGATCCCTGCCAGGCAGTCCAGGGAAAAGCTGGAGGTGGAGATGCAGTCAGGTTTGCACAAGGGTGATGCAAACCTGCAGTTTTGGGGGATCCCTGTGCTGGCAGCTGAGGGGATTTGCTGGCAAACCCTGGGAATGGCATTTCTTCTCCCACAAGGATTCCCATGGCTTGGTTTGGGTGGCTTTGGACAAACCTTGCCCTGCCAAGGGCAGGCTCTGCACGGGCACTGCCATCGCTGCACGAGGCCAGAAAAATCTCAGTAGCAGGGAAAAGCAATAAAAATGAGTGTTCCTCTGGGAAAAGCTGAGCCAGACACCAACATCCTTCCAAGTTAACCACTGTCCTGCCTGAGTGTGTGGCTGACAGGTCTGCTCTGCTCCTGAAATCATCTGTGTGAGGCTCAAGGCAGGATCTGGGTGCAGGAACATCTGATTCTCCTGGGGTGCAGCAAAATGTCATCAGCTTCATGTCTTCTGGGGCCTGTTTCCCTAAACTCAAAGGCTTTTGGACACAGTTCTTGGATTTTCTCCTCCTCTGGGAATTTTAAATCTTTCCTAAATGTCCAGGTTGGATTTTTTTGGCTCAGCCTGCCCTTACAGACACTGCTGGGGTCCATCTGTGGTGCTGGGTCCAGCTGCAGCCAGCAGTGGGTTATTCCCATTCCCTGTCCCTGCTTCAGGGCTCTGGGGTCACCCCAGCCCAAGGGCATCTCAGAGCTGGCCTGTGGACAGGGATCCTGCCCTGGGATCCTCCAGGGCACTCTGAGAGTTTCAGGGCTGTGCTGATGGAATGATTGGCAGTTCCCTTTGGCAGGAAGGTGCCAATCCCATCATTTTCCCCATGGTTTTCTTCCCATCCATAAATGCCCAGCTACAGGATGGACTCAGCACATCCCTGACACAGAGCTAAGGAAGCTCTTAGGGCTGCAGGGACAGGGCAGGATGCCCAGCACAGGGCACAGAGGGCTTGGTAGTTCGGAAATTTACCCAAAAACCAAATGAATTTCCACAGGACAAGCTGAAATCCAACCCTGCTCCTTTGTGTGTGCTTTATCACATCCTCCAAATCCCTCCCTTCAGTTCCTTCTCTGAAGGCTCCAAACTTCTACAACAGAGCTGGCAGAGATTTTTTGAGCCCCTCACCCCTCCCTGCCTTTCCAAACTCCCTTTAGTGACCTCAGACTTGAAAACCACAAGCACTGAACCTCCTCCAGCTGCTTCTCCATGAAGGAGAGATCCGAGATCCTTCTCATGTGAGACACAGAATGGGGTTGTGCCATTGCTGCTGAGGGATTTGAGGGAAAAAATCATATTTAACAGTTCTGGTAAGAACAGCTCACCCTGCTCAGGGCTCCTGGAATGAGCTGGACAGAGCCAGGGGGAAATTCTTTGCATTCTTGGGATTGGGAGGTGGAATTAAGGTAAAATGCTCCTGGGTGAGGGCCAGGCTATCTGGAGTATAAATATCACACTGGACTTGAATTCAGGAGTACTTTTGGAGTGGAGTTGATGGCAGGAAGAGTGTTAGATTGGGAGTCCAGGGAGGGAAAAGAAAAGCCTCATTTTGGGCTGTGAATGTGCCAGACCCCAGCTAGCAGAGGTCAGGGCAGCAGTGCTGGGCCTTTGCTGGCTCAGCAGCTGGGGTGATGTGGCAGCAGAGATGCTGCTCCCCAGGAGGGCCCAGGCAGCAAAATGTGTCCCTGCTGCTGGGGCTGGCACAGGCTGAGCTGCCCAGGCTGTGCTGGCTCCTGCACTGCCCAGCTGGGCTCTGCCAGGTGGGGAAAAAGTCTGGTGGGTGCTGTGGCTCACATCTGGAAATGACATGGAGAAAAAAGCGTCATTTAAGCTCCTAGATAGCACCAGAACTCTGGGATGCTCCTCCTTCCTCCTGCCACCAGCAATGCCAGGCACAGCTGGAACTGTGAGCATGGCAATAACCATGAGCTGTGACGGTGATGAGGGAAAACAGGGAAAAACAGGGGGAAACAGGGAAAAAACGTGGAAATGGGGAAAAACAGGGGGAAATGGGAAAAAAAACAGGAAAAAATGGGGAAACAGGAAAAAAACAGGGAAATAAGGGGAAAAACAGGGGAAAACAAGGGAAAACCAGGGGGAAACAGGGAAAAACAGGGGAAACAGGGAAAATGGGGAAACAAGGGGGAAACAGCCACTTCTGCTCCTGTCAGAGCCCTGCAAACCCCAGACTGTGGCCCTGCAGCCCCGTCCTGCTCCCCCTGAGCTGCACCTTTGCCCCTGGGCTCATCCTTCATCCCTGCTGAGCCCAGGGGGAATCGTTCCCAACTTCCAGGGACCAGTGCAGATGTCCCAGCTGAGCCATTCCCCCCTTCCCTTCTGGGGGTGTTTATGTGCACCCAGCCAGCCCTGGGTGCAAGACTTGTGCAATATTTGCTGGGTTGTTTGATCTGTGGCTGCTGGGTGAGCATTGATGAAAGCAGAGCCCAGCGTGGGGCACCCTCTGCATCCTGGATTTCCATCTGCTCCATGCAGCAGCGCTGTTTCCCCTTTTCCCTCCGAGAGCAGCGTTTCCCCCACCCCGGAGGCACCGTTTGATTGGAAGGCTTTAAAAGGGACAATCTGTGTGAGTCACAGTGAAAGCCATAAAAGAAAAACCAATAAAGCCATCTGAAAAGTGCTGTTTAATGGATCGAGGCAAACTTACTGGAAACAGGAGACAGATTGTTTCATCTTGAAATCGTTGCTTCAAATCCCTCTGCATTTGGGAGCAAAGGACATTTATTCCTCATCAATAGCTGTCAGGGAAAAGAGATTTGAAAGGGATTTTGCCACCTTTGAAAGGAGTTGTGGGTTTCTCTGGGCTCCCAGCAGCTCTCTGAGCATATTTAAAAGCTTTTCAAGTGCTGTGTACTCTGGAAATTCAGGACTTCCAGGGCAGAGCTTTTCAGAGAATGAAAATAATTGTCCCTGTCATGGACACAGGTATCTGTTTGCGTGGCAAATATTGATTTTCTTAGCAAATAAAAGGCACCTGAGCACTTCTCACCTCTGGAGAGAAATGTTTCTCCACTCTCACTGTGGCTTTTCCCAGACTGAATTTTGGGATGTTGAATCCCTTTGGCTGATGTTTTCTCCCGCCACTTGGCAGGCAACACAAATCTGGGGAATGTCCTGTAGGATTGTTCCCTTTGCTGTGACCCTGCAGCAGCACTGACATCTCTGCAAGCTGTTTGTCTGCATCTGGGCTTCTGTTTCTGGAGACGAAATGTGTTTTCAGTTGGATTTAGCTTTTGCATGTCGCTGTGTTACCCTCAGCAAGTCCAACTCAACGTGTTTTTCTGCTGCTGAGTAGCTGAACCTGGCTTTCCACACGGAGCCCTGGGAATGAAGGGGTCAGGATGGCCTCAGGCCACGCTTTTTTGAGAGGTGAGTTCATCTAGAGATGTGAATTTCCTTATAAAGCTGCACCTCCAGGGGCTGAGAGCACCCTCACTCCTCTCCTGGCCGCTTCACCCAGCTGTGGGTCAGAGCTGGGGTTTGTGCCAGCAGCTGGCTCAGGCTCCGGCTCCTGCTCCAGCCTGACTCTGTTCCAGATGTTTTCCCAGTTGCACACGTGGTGGGCACGTGGCTGGCGCTTCCCTGTGCTGCAGAGCAGGTGTGTGACCCCAGGGGACAGCCGAGCCCGGCCGGGCTGTCAGCGCCGCCTCAGCGCCTCTCCAAGTTCGCCGTTTCTCTCGATTTACGGGACAGCTGCAGCGCTGCTCTTCAGCGCTCGCCCGCATCAGCTGGGCTGGTTTGGGAGGTCGCACCTCTAAAGCCAAGCCCGGGGGCAGAATTCGGGCAGAGTTTTGTCTGTGTTCGTAATTCAAGAATAATTTTCGGTGAGCAAAGCGGGCGTGTGAGCTAGGCCGGGCTCCCGGCCGCCAACATCTGCCTGGCACATCTGGCCAGACGCTGCCGCTCGTGGGGTCCCCGCTCCAGACGCTCGCGCGGCGCCGCCGCCCAGATGTGCGCGCGCGCCCCGCCCGCGGCCAGCTGTGTGCGCCAGATGTGCGGAGGGGCGGGGTCAGCACCGAGGCCCCGCCTCCTCTCGCTGTCAATCATCGTCGACGACCCAATAACGGCCCGCGACACATCGAGGCTCGCGACCAATCAGGGCGTGGTTGTGATTTCCATGGCAGCCGCAGCCGCGCGGCTGAGGAGAGGCGGTGGCGACGCGGCCGCTCCCGTTCCTCATCCCGCTCCCGCAGCCGCTCTCGATCCCGCTCCCTGCCCACTGCGATGGTGCCCGAGCGGAGCCGCGGCGGCGGAGGGGCGGTCGTGCCGCTGCTGCGCGGCTCCAGCCGGGCGCGGGGGCGGCGGCAGCAGCAGCAGCAGCGCAGGTGAGGGGCCGCGCACCTGAGGCGAGCCCGGGGCGGTTCCGTGCCCGCCGCTGCCGCCCGGGCCCGCCGCGCTCCGCCCTGCCCCCCCCGATGCGCCCAGGGCCGGGCGCGCTGCTCCCCGCGGCCCAGCCCGGCCGGATCGTTCCCAAAGTTTCCCTGCGGGCGGGACAAGTCGCGGCTGGGGCTCCCGGTGCCTTTGTTCGGTGCCGGGAGGGCCCGGAGTGCCAGCGCGGGGGCAGGGGGGCAGCGGGGCCGCTGCTGCAGCGCTGGGTTTGTGCCTGCGGGCAGGTATGGAACGGCTTGGCTGGGCTCTAGGACACCTTCCCTGCCCTTCCCTTCCCTTCCCTTCCCCGGCTTGTTTCAAGCCCCATCAGTTTGATAGTTCACAGTTTGATAGTTTTATAGCAGGAGATTGAATCTGTCGCTTAGCTGGAAGTGGGTTCGCTGCCGCCGTTGGGATTTCCATTTGTTTTTGTCACTGTGCCGTGCGAATTTTTGTGGATCTGGGTGGTTTTGCTGTTACGGAGGAGTTTGATTCTCCGCAGTACCGCGGTGTAGGACGGAGCGCTGAAATCCCTCTGAGGAGCGCCCAGAGAAATGCACAGAGCAGGAGCTCATCTGCTCTCAGTGTGACATTTTTCCTCTCTTTTCCCCTTTTTTCTTCTTTTATGTGTAACTTTAGAGAGCTTGAAGCCTCTGTGTGTCGCTGGTAAAATTCCTTCTGTTGAATTGTTCTCCAGCAGAACTGTAGAAATTAACAAATACTGTTTGTTTTTCCATAACCAGGAGTACATTGGTAACTCTTTTTTGACCATTTTCTATGCAAATCCTGATAATTTGCTGTATATATTAAGTATATATGTAAGTAGAGCAGAATAGAGAAAGATATTTCCTTTCATTTGAAGGAGAATTTCTTAATTATGTGATTTTAAAAGTCATTTTAGAGGCCTTAAATGTTGAAAAGCCTAAAAGTGTTGAATTTTGAGTGCTTGGGTAACAAAACTGAAAATCATAAGTATGAGCATGTGGAGTTTTTACTCTGTATAATGTGGTTGTTATAGAAATAGTGAAAATATTACATAGTTGTGTGTTGTATTCTGTGACATGGAAACTTTCATTTAGGGATGCTGAAAGAGCTTAGGGTAGATGTTCCTCTAAGAAATAACTCTTCACTTTCTAAATGTGCATTGTTTTGAGGGTGATTCTTGAGAATTCCCAGTGTCTACTGCCTTTCCAATATTTATTTTAAGAGAGAAAACGTGAAAGATGCAGGAAGAGGCAGGGAAGAAACTGATAGAGTTAACATTTACTTTTTTAAGTCCTAACAGCATTTTCATTTCTCCTTCTCCAATAGAGTGATGATGGATAACAGCATTTTGGGATATTTTTCCATTCAATTTAGCCACTGTAAAATGAAATTTCCTTTATAGTTTTGTGTGTAGTAGTCAGGCTGTGCATCAGAATCTTCTCTTTCTGTAGGGTGTATTTTGGAGCCTGCTCCATAAAGCCTTGGGAGAGGAGGGGGTGTTGGCATAGCCCCAGAGAATCAGGGGCTGAGCAGCTCTCCTGAAAATCCTAGGAGCATGGTAGGAAGGCATGAGGGGAAAGACAACTTTCCAATGGTGTGAGCTCTTCCCCTACTTCTCTCTTGCTCCCACTTTCTGGCACAAAAAGCTCCTTTTTTTATTGGCTTTTTGTTGTGAGGATGCCTGTGGAGCCTCATGCCCTGCTGGCACAGAGCTGAGTGTGACCTTTCCTCCCAGCAGAGTTCTCCAGAAGAGTTGAGCTCAAACTCTGGCCCTTTACATTTTTCAGAGCTTTACATTTCAACCAACCCATCAGAAAAGCCTAAGTTCAAGGGAATAAAATGTGTGAAAGCATTTCTGTAGGTCCTGCAGTGGGAACTGTAAGGGGAAGTTGCTCACTGCACTTGGAACAAATCAGGAACCAAATCAGGACCAAATCCCATTAAAAAAAAACAATCCCATAAAATCTAAGCTGTGCTTTTCCTAGAAGGAGATCTGATGGTCAGAATCTGGAGCCAGGAGTTCAGGCCGTGGAAGCAGAGGACAAGTTAATCACTGAGAAGTGCTATATATATATCTGGGGTTGTGTTTTATTTTGGGAGGGATGATGCCACTGCCCTCTCAGTTTAGCCCTGGAAAAGCTCTGCTTGAACAGGAGAAGGGAGGTGCTCCCTGTCCATCCTCCACAAAAAGGCTGAGCTCTGGAGCTCCAGAGGATTCCTCCTTACAGCTTGGGGATGGAGCAGCTTTTATTCCTCTGCAGGGAATGTTTGAAACACCAACAAACCCCAAACTAGCATGAAATACAAATGGATGACTTGCTTCTTGACTAAGCTAAAAATTTTCAACATTTTTTTGGATGAACTTGAGGAAAAAGGTCTTGACCTGCTGCGTGGAGGGGAGGGCAGGAGGATGAATTGTGTGCAGGAGGAGGAAACAAAGCAGTGCAGTCAGTTCTGCTGTGCTAACATCATCTGAGGCTGACTCATGGGCCTGACTCTTCTGGGCAGAAAATTCACTTACAGACACAATTCTGCTTGGCTGCACTGTCTTGCGATGAAACTTGTAGATCCTCATTCTTTTTTTCTGGGAATTCTATTTTCAAAGTCCTGGCACTTGAAACTTGCTGCCAAAGGCCTCTCTGCCATTGTAGTCTTCTACAACTTCCTCAGCTCCTGTTTTGTGTGAGGGGGCTGTGTTTGTTTGGGTGATTGTGGGGTTTGTGTTGGGATTTTTTTTTTAAATAAAATCTGTCTGTGCTTGTAAGGTGAGTGGCACTTTGCCCTTCTCAGATAAAAACCCCACAACATTTCAAAGCTCAGAGGGCTTGCTGATTGCCCTGCTGTGATTTTGAAACGCTGTCAATTTAATTCCTGTTAACAGCAGAGCAATAATAACTTTTATAACCCTTGAGGCTGACAGATGTGCTCCAGAACACTTACTCATGGGGAGGAGGGAAGGTGGGGTTTGTTTGCAGAAGGGCAGCAACTTTCATATGTCATCCTTATCCCAAAGAGCTTTCCTTGCAACTTCAGGCACAGAGGGGAGTTTGCTGGCTTGGAGAATAAATGATTTTTTTGAGAGGAGCTGTTCCTGACTGCTCCTCTCTGGCTTTGCTGACACACAGAGCCCTGGTCTTTATGGCAGTGCATGCTCCAGGTGTTGCTTCCAGGTAAAAAACCAGGGCAGGAGGTTGAAGGACACTTAAATCCTGCTGATTCTTTATGGTCTTGCAGCCTTTGGCAACTTTGAACTTCCCAGAGTTTGAACTGCATCGAATGAAAGTGTGGGTGATTGATGTGGGGGTTTTGCCACATGGCTGGGATTTTGGTGGTGTAGGTGAGTCAATCCTCACAGAAATTTAGGAAACCTCCTCACAGTCTGCAGCACTAATGGAATTCACAGCTGGAATTGTGCCCAGAGGGAATCATCACTTGCTTAAAAATTAAATTAAAGATTTCAGCCTTCAATCACCAGCTTTCCTCCAATACTGAGAGTTCTTCAGCTTTGTTGTTAAAGCTGGGTTTATTTTATTTTGGTTGAACTGATATTCTAATATAAATCTTAAATTTGACCTTGATATGCTTTTCTCCAGTGATCACCTACCTAACTTCTGCATTTGGGGAATGTTGGTGTATCTTCAAGGAGTAGGTTTTAGTTTGGAAGGTGAAGGTTTCTGTGGAAGATTTTTTTTTTTCCTTCCTGAGGAAATTAGTTTTGTGGCATTTACTCAAACTGAGTAATGGTAGGGATTGGAGGAAGTGTAAATATTTGTAGGGCTTGTGTGCTCTGTGCTAAAATGCTGTTTCTTCTGTGTTAACTCTTCTCTCCAGTGGGTGCTGCATCTAAAGAATTTTAAAAGATTCTGTATTATTTGTTAGTTTTAAGCAGAACAATTTCCCCTTTCCTAATATCTAAGTTAGGTCTACATGCTCATCTTTCAGAAGAGAAACTCTTATTTTTGGTGCTATGGAAATATGAACTGCATTATTTATTTTCCTTACTTTTTGAGCACTGTTCAGATGACCTCCACTTAAATTTCTGGGAATTTGAGGGTGTTTTTTTTAAATGTTCAGATATTTAACGTCCAGTTAAAGCAAAGAGAAGTATGTGAGTAGAATGAAACTTGTCACAGAGGATGAATTGTTCCTGTGAGTGGTGTTCTGGCCAGAGAGTGTTGGCCACTTCACAGGAAAAGAAGGGAATTAATCTTTGAGCTATATTTGAGTTTAATTTTGGTAACAGAGACTAAAAGCTGAACTTTGAGTGGAGTATTGTGACAGCTGTTGATTAGAATAAGCTTTGTTAATGGGAAGGGCAAAACCCTCTGCTGGATGCCCTGGCAGAGAAGAACCCAGCAGGAATTCCCTGCTTTTCCCCACTGCTGAGTGGGAATTCTGTCCTCTGCCTGCACCTTCCCATAAAACAGGCCCAGGGCTGGAGAGCCTCCTCAAATCAGCCATTTCTGAGTTAACAGCTGGATTTTAGGAGGAAAAGGTGAAGTGGATAATGCTTTGGAGAGGAGCAGGCAGAAGGATCCTGTGCGCTCAGGGATGTGTCCTGCAGTGCTGACAGAGATGGAAAAGCCTGCAGGAAGCCAATCATTTAAAATGTTGGCACTACCTCCGTGCTTGGAGCTCCTCCCAATTAAAAGCATCTGTGATTCTGAGTGCTCAGTGAACTATTTCAGCCCTGGACAGCCAGATCTTCCTTAAAATTCCAGTAGAGTACTAATTTCATTGGAATTTTGGGAAGAAGAGTCAGTTTTCAGCCCACCTGATCTGAAAACCCAAAGCAGGTGAACTGCAGAACACAGGTAAATGATTGTCTCTACATTAACTGTTAGAAATGGGGAAAATAAAAATACAGGTGGAGTCATCCAGCAGCAGAATATAGATTTGTCTAAGCCAGTGTTTGATATCATCTCTGATATTTCCTATAAAACATGGCATGTTCTTAGTCCTTCTTGGAAATGGAATTCAACAGACAGATTTTGAAACTATTTTCTATCTAAAAGTTTTGTTCAGACTCTTATGCATGTCTAGAAATCATCTAATTCTTTTCTTCTCATCTGTAGAAATGAAAATTGCTTTTGAATAATGCAGTTTTATGAAGCTGAACTGAAAAATAAGTGAGAAGAAGAAATTAGAAACTTCTGAAATTCAGAAATTTCTTTCTGAAAAAGAAATGAGTATTATGGGTATTTTGGGGTTTCACACTGAATCTTGTCTCATCTCTTGGAAAAGTAATTCCTTGAGTAATTCCAAGAGTAATTTCTTGTCTCACCTCTAAAAAAAGTAATTCCTTGAGTAAATCCAAGAGTAATTTCTTGTCTCACCTCTAGGAAAAGCATTGTAAAAAAATTGTGAAGTATTGTAAAAAAATTTCTAATTTTGTAAAAAAATTTCTAATTGTAAAGTAAAAGTATTACAAAAAGTATTGTAAAAAAAATTCTAATTTTTTTTTTTATTTTTTCTCCGCTTGCCAGACCTTAATTTATTTGGGATTGGGATCCCCATGGCACGTGAACTAGAGGATAATTCGGAGTAGGAGGTGTTTTGATCCTTCCCAAGATGGTGGGGAAGCTGAAGCAGAACCTGCTGCTGGCGTGCCTGGTGATCAGCTCGGTGACCGTGTTCTACCTGGGCCAGCACGCCATGGAGTGCCACCACCGCATGGAGCAGCGCGGGCAGCCCCCGCGGGGGGACAGCGCCAGGGCCACGCTGGGCACGGCCCCCGCTGGCACCGGCGGTGGCAGTGCCAACCGGAGCCTGCCCTACAGCAAGGACATGCCCCTGATCTTCATCGGGGGCGTGCCCCGCAGCGGCACCACGCTGATGCGCGCCATGCTGGACGCGCACCCCGACATCCGCTGCGGGGAGGAGACCAGGGTGATCCCCAGGATCCTGGCCGTCAAGCAGATGTGGGCCAGGTCCAGCAAGGAGAAAATCCGCCTGGACGAGGCCGGGGTCACGGATGAGGTGCTGGATTCGGCCATGCAGGCGTTCCTGCTGGAGATCATCGTCAAGCACGGCGAGCCCGCTCCCTATTTGTGTAACAAGGATCCCTTCGCTTTAAAATCCTTAACTTACCTGGCCAGGATTTTCCCCAATGCCAAATTCCTGCTGATGGTGCGGGATGGCCGTGCCTCTGTGCACTCCATGATCTCCAGGAAGGTCACAATAGCTGGCTTTGACCTGAACAGCTACAGGGACTGCCTGACCAAGTGGAACCGGGCCATAGAGACCATGTACAACCAGTGCATGGAGGTGGGCTTCCAGAGGTGCATGCTGGTGCACTATGAACAGCTGGTGCTGCACCCTGAGAGGTGGATGAGGACTCTCCTCAAGTTCCTGCACATCCCCTGGAACCAGGCAGTGCTGCACCATGAGGAGATGATTGGAAAAGCAGGGGGGGTTTCTCTTTCCAAGTGAGTATGAGCCTTCGTCCTTCACCTTGTGCTGTTATGAAGTAGTGCATTTTGTATATAAAAATCACAGCTTGGTTTCAGTTTCTCCCTTGGGCAGCTGATTTATGGTGCATCTTGAAAATAAGTCAGTGCTAATGAACAGTCTGCAATCTCAGGTTGGTTATGTGTGTAATGTGAACAAACTTAACAGTCAAGGCCAAATTGAATTTGAATATCTGATAGCAGCTTTGCTTTTCTCTGTGCCCCTAAATAAACCTGAGCTGTTTTATCTAGACTGGTGTCACCCATCCTAGCCACATCACCCATTTGATTTCAGCAACAATATTGTTGTCAGTGCAAGAATGGCCTTGGAGCTGAGTTGCCAAGATCATCCTCTTCCAGGAAACTGGAGAAACTGCTCCAAGAGAATAGAAAGCAGAGCTGGCAGCTTTTCTCCTGGCATGTGCTCCCAAAATGACAAGCATTTTGATGAAAAGTAACCTTGTTGTAAGCAGATCTTTCACTATTCTGTTGGGCCATCTGTGCACCTGATTCAGCTGCTTTCAGAATCCAAAATTCAGCTCTGCTTGGGAAAACTAGATGGGTGTTGTTAAAAGATAATCTGATTTATTCTCTGGTTAAACTACTCTGGTTTCTTTGCCACTGTTCACAGCTGAACAACTGAAATACAGAAGCTGTTTCATCTTTACATTGAGAGTGAAAAATGTCAATTTTTGACACTCCTCCTCTTTTTGAATCCTCCAGATTAATTTTTAAAATCCTGAATAAGAAGCCCCATTCCAGCAGCAAAGGCTGCCCAGTTAAATTACTCAGCTCCTGGATTTGGAATATTCAGCACTGGCCAAGTGCTTCTGAGTGAGAGGCACCTTGCACAGCAAGCACACACAGACTGATACAGAGTAATTCCATTTATTTAAACTCTGGTTTTGAGAAATAAAAACGGGGAGATTTCCTTCATTTAATGCCTAGGAACACAGCTGTGGATTTTCTAATATATTCCAAGGGTATTTGATTTAAAACAAATATAAAATTATTATCAGTGATTACAAAGAGAGCTTTAAAGTCAGGTAACAATTAGATATTTGCACTGTGGAGGTTTCACATCACCGTTCCCACTGAAGGAACAGCCTCCACTGTTCCCAGGTTATCAGGAAGGGATCTCATCCCTTTTTTTTGGCAGTGTTGTTCAGTAGCAGATTGAAAATGTGGAAATGTTAACCTGAAGCAGGGCACTGTGATGCCTCCCTGGAACCTGATCCACATGGGAACTTCTCCCTAATTCCTGGGGTTTGTTGCTGCTTCAGCAGCACCTGAGTGGAGGTAACTTTTTTTTTTTATGGTTACCAAGCTTTAAATGTCTTGTAAAATATAACAGTATAATCCCATTTCTAGTAAAATATTACTGCCTTACAGCTTCCAGATTGGTGTTTTTAAAACTTGATGGACCTTTATACTGTCAAACTCAACCACCTTACTGAATTATTACTAATATTTCTTATTAAATCTGCTGGAATGGGGTGTGAGGAGTTGAGAATATTTGTTTCTAGAGATTAAGAAAATGGCTTGAGCACTCGAATGTGTTTATTTTTGTAGTAAAACCTTCACATTTAAGACAAAAGAGTGTGGACATATTCTTGTGACCCTCAATTCAGTCTGGTCCCAGGGTTCTTCATGCCTTTATTATCTCTCAGGAGATGATCTGGGGAAGCAGTTTCTGATTTCAGGAGGCTCTGGCAGTGGTGGAGAAAGGCTGAGAAATGGGTGTTATGTCTGGGGTGGGTTTGTCTAATCCAATGCCCTTGCAGTAGGTGATGAAATTTGGTTTTCAGTTGCAGGATTTGATAATGATTTCAGTGACAAGGCTTTCAGGGGCTGCAGAAAACCCAGTGAATATCAAAACCTTAAATGCCTGTGTTGTGTGTTTGGGATTCCAGTTGAAATTGTGCAGGGAGAGCTTGAGATTTCCCGGTTTGATGCCCTGTTCCAGTGAAAACCTGCTGGGATATTGTGTAAAAACTTCTGGAAACAAGCAGAGCCCCCTGCTTTAATCATCTCTCACTCACCTGAAGGACCTCCAGGTCTTAGAGGCAGGCTCAGCATCCACTTCAGATTCATGCTGCTGCCTCAAGTCCAGCCTAGGATGCCTGGAGATGTTTCAATTGTTGCAATTATTTTTTGAAAAGAAATCTGACAAGTTTTTTGTCATCTTGAGATATTTAAAAACATTTTGACAACGAGATCAGTGTCACTAAAATATCTTTGTAACCACGCTATTACCTGCTAATAAACATTCAGAATTTATTTCTCACCCCTTATTTTGATTTTTATCCAGGAACACTGCAAGGGCTGTAGGGATGTGCAGTGCAGGATTTGTAGGAGTGGGAATTTTCTGTGGTTTGAAGTCCCTGCCAACGTGGCTGTTGAAGGAATTCATTATGGACTCCATGCTCTAACCAGGATTGTTAATTGAGCTCTGGCATTTGCCTAAATGAAAGCAGCTGTGCTGACCACTGATGTAAAGAAATGTCAACCACCCTAGAGCAATTTTTATTAGGTTTTTTATGGAAATAGCTGTCTAGGCTGAATTACTTCAGAATTTGCTATATTTAGTACATAGCTCTCGTTTGATTCTGGTACAGATGCAGAATTATTTGGAGTTAGTCCTGTGTGCTTCCCAAAGCTGAAACTCTTCCTAGAGCTGGAATCACTGCCATATAATCAATTTTCCCAAGAATCGGTGTTCCCTTGCTTTTCTGTTTGAATTTTTACATTTTTCTTTCTTCCTGCCCCCAGTCTGTCTTCTTTCATGTTCCTCATAATTTCTTTATCTGAGGAATCTTTCCCACAAATTGTTTTATTTTCCTTCCCACCTTAACTGAAAGCACATTTAACCAGACCAAATGTGGAGCAGTGGATTTTTTATCAGTCCTTGGGAGCAGCTAAATGTAGTCCCTGTTATCAATCTCCAGGAAATGTTTCATGCTGAGGGCATTGTTAGTAAAGATTAAAATGACAGAGGGACAAAACACACATTTAAAATTTGATATCAGAGTGGGGAATCCATCTGTGACAAATTTAGGCTCAAATTGATCTGTAACACCCATTTTTGGGGGGTCCAGCAAGTTCTTAGCCAGGCTCATTTGCTGGTTCTCCCAGTATCACCCTGATTTTAAATACTCAAATCAATTTGCAGTTTTGGTGAGGAGGTTTTAGGCTTGGCTTGCTCTAAGGACCATGAATGTTACTTTTTTCAAACACCTTGTGATAATTTTTTCCTGAGTGTCCCAATCCACCTCTGGGCTCCTGTTGTGGTGCTCTGAATTTCTGAATTTCAATTTTTAGCAGCTCTTTTCTTGCTAAGGTGGAGTCAGATGCTCATCTTCTAATTAGAAAGATCACAAAAAACATTGCCTAAACTTTTTAATTTTCCATCCAGACTCAAGAGCTCAGTCCAACAGCCCTGAGAATGTTGAAATTTAGTCACAACTCCTGGTCCCAAAATCCCCTTCTGAGATCCTGCCTTTGGTTTGAGTCTCTGCTCATGGTTGAAGAAGATACAGCTGAAATTTCTGGGTGTTTTTTAGAGGTTTTTTTGTTTGTCAGCTCCTCTTCAGCTTCCATAAAACACCAATCTGAAGGCCCTGCTTGCCAAGGCAGTTTCCTTATGAGCATTTCCCTGTCTGGTTTGTTCTTTGTTGATTGTATTTAAATTATTTCACCTTACTGACCTTCAGCATTGGATGAGTGATTTCCTTCCTCTGGCCTGGGAGGATTTTAGCTCTGCTGAGGAGTGAAAAAGAGGAACAAGGTGAACTCTGGTGTGTGCTCAGCATCAGCTGTGAGGCAGACAGAAACATTCCTTTTATATATCCAACATCCAAACTCTTTCTGAGGTCAGGAAAAACAAGTTTTAAATTATTTAGAGTAAAAACTCAGGGAGTTTTCAATTATTCAGCCTGAGTTCTTTTCCAGGAGTAAGCACAGTAAAGAAGTTGTGTGTCTTACAGTCATAAAGACAGAACGAAGCAGTGCCAGTTTTCTTCCTTGGAAAAATAAAAACACACCACAAAAGTAGAGCAAAAATGAAAATTACATTAAGACTGTTGCTGAAATGAACAAAAGAAATCAATGATTTTCTAAACATGACATTAATTGTGCACTTGCCATTAAGATCTGTGTAAAGACCAAACAATCAAAGGAATGGTTATGGAAAATATTTCTGTAGTTTGTGGCTTTCTGTCATCTCAGGTCTCTTTTTTATTAAACAAGTTTTTAAAAAAATGAACCACAGAATAGTTGTGAGAAGAACTAACACATGGATTGGAGTTTAGAATACAACTTTTAATACATCCTAGACAATTAAACAGCAAATGTGGGAATGTACCAGTGGGAAAACAGATTTATATGTAGATGTGGGTTTACTTTTCACTTAACAGTTCCTGGGCTTTCTCTGCTGCTTTTATGGAATAAAGAATTTATTTCAGCACAGCGTGAGAGCCTAAACCTGACAGCATCTGCAAATATTGTGCAAATTATTCTCATTAAAACTTCACTTCCTATCAGCTCTGTAGAAAACATGAAATTTTGAGAGGGAAAGAAGAAAAATGGGAGGAAAAACCAAAAAAAACCAAACAAAACAAGCTAAAGGTCTTAATGCTATTGAAGAATAATTGGTTGGAAATAGAATAATGGAAAATTAAAAGTAATTAATTAATAATGGAAAATATAATTATTTTTTCTCCTTCCCCAGGGTTGAAAGATCCACTGACCAAGTGATCAAGCCAGTGAATGTGGAAGCCCTGTCCAAGTGGGTAGGGAAGATCCCAGCTGATGTCCTGCAGGACATGCCAGTGATTGCCCCCATGCTGGCCAAGCTGGGCTATGACCCCTATGCCAACCCCCCCAACTATGGGAAGCCAGACCAGAAAGTGGTGGAAAACACCAGGAGGGTAAGGCTTTTGTGGGTTTAATTACTGACTAAATGGATTTGAGCTCTAGAGCAGGAGCCTTGTGTTTGTCTGGGTTTGAAGTCTGTTTCTGACACTTTTTGCTGCTTCAGTGTGTTTTATTTGGGGGAAGATGAAGGGATTCTTTGGGCTTTTGAGTTGTGCTCCTTGGTGTGTGGAGCTGAACCTCCTGAGAGCTGCCCAGAGCGTTGGGGAACTGGTAATGTCAGTTCTGAACCAAAATCTGTGTTCAACCTAATCTTGGGCCTGCCACTGCTTGGACTTGCCTTGGCAAACTGGGCTGTGTAAATGCTGGTATGTTCATGTGAATATAATATAAAATATCCTCAAAACATTTGCTTTCCAGTGGCATTATTCTTCGTAATATTGCTGATATTGGCTATCTGCTGTTAGATGTTTACTGGGGTAAATGCTGTTCCTGCAAAGGTGAAGTTTTTAGAGCAGACACAAACCAAGATGTGTAATATAAAAATTAGACTGAGTCATAATTAACAGTGAGAAAAGCTTTCTTGTCTGGATTTCAAACTTGATGAATGAGCTCAGCTTTTTATAGATGAGGCTTGGCAGAAGCTCTGTCACAAAATTACACCCCAAATATTCAGTAGGGTTTGAAAAATGACCCATAGAAAACAGCCCACAATGATCAAAATGTCTGATTTTCCAATTCTTTGTAGAACAGCCCAAAGATGGAGCAAGGTCTGGTGCTGATTAACCTAAACTTAAGGATTTGAGTCTGAATTTAATGTTGTTGGAATTTGAGTAGTTGGGCTATTAGAGCTGTTTATCCCTGGAGGTATCCGTTGAAAAACTCATTACCATTGTTGGAAATAGAATTAATAACTCTGCTTCTGTTCTTTTTGAACTTAGTTTATTAAAAGAAGGTGACTTTTTCTGCTGCAGCAGAGTAATCAGGGAAAAAAATTGAATTAAACAATTTGAAAGCACTGTCTTCCACCAGCCTTCTGATCCTGAATAAACTGCTTGGAATACTGATGGGAAGGAAAAAGGAATTGGGGTTTGTGAAGTCCCTAAATGCTCTTGCATTATTTCTTTTTAGAAAAAATATCATTAATCAATAATCAGTGTATTAAAGGCTGGCAGGTTGATTTTTTTTTAATTAATAGCTGATAGCTCAGCATGGAAAAAGTAGCCCACCCTTTTTGATTACAATTTAAAAGTTCCCTGTTTTAAAAGGCTCACAAACAAAACAGTTGTCTGCAGTTAAAATAAGTGTTCAGTACTAGAAATTGCAAATTTTATTGGTTGTGTCTCACTGATAAAATTGACAGAAGTTTTTACAGCCTGCTGACCTTTCTGAGGCCTCCATCTGTGAGGGGCAAGCTCAGGCCAAGCTGTAAAAATTGTCTGGATTTCTGTCTCTTCTTGAAATGGATTTGATTTCAAAATACAAGAGAGGAATTCAGGCAGGAGCAACTGTAAAGAAATGAAAACCTAATTTCAAAGGCTGAGGGTTTACTGAGGCTTTTTCCAAGTTTGCTTTGAAGGATAATTTGTTTGTTTACTGATGCTAAGAGCAGCTGTTAAAAACTGAAGCTGTTCTAAATATTGCCGACATATGGAACACTCATTAATATTTTGGCTGCGATTTTATTTTAATAGCTTTACTTACAGCCCCAGACAGCATTTTAATTTTGTTGTTTATTATAGTTCCCAGTATATATTTTTCTAGTCACTTGTTCTTTGCCAAAATTCCATTTGCATGTGTGGTTTGTGCAGATAAAATGAGGGAGGTATTCTGAATGAATGCTAAAAGCAAGAGAGTTCAAGATGGTTCATCTTCAAAACTTAGAATATTTCTTTAAAAATAGAGCAACATAAATATTTCAGACTGTTTCAGACTCTGGTGTGTGAGTTTGGCCCATCAGGGGCATCTCTTGGGGGGTTTCCTTTCCCCCCCCAGGAACCTGTGCTAATTTATTCCTTGCTGCTGCAGCCTTGAGGGAAAAAAAAAAAAAAAAAAAAAAGCATTTACTTAAATTGATAAAATAAATAAATATGGGTTTTTCCAGCCTTTTGGAGCTGGCACTTGGCAAGTTAAGTGTGTTCCTGTGTACTTTGGGCTGCTGAATTTGTAAATCACTGGAGCACTTCCTTTGCTCTTGCTTTCTTTAAATTTCTTCACCTGGGATAACCTTTCACAGAGTTTTGTACTGGGTATCTTGAATATGGATGAAGCTGGCCAAAGAAAATCTTTCCAGAATTGCTTTTCAGTGCATTGTAAGAATATCTGGATCTTGTTTGTAGCCATTTATTGGCTCATTTTGTGTTTGGAAGCAGCTCTCTTATATTTATATTTGTATTTGTGGTCTCCAAGACTTTAAAATGAACACAGAACTTGAATTGTATTCATTGAAAACAGATAAAGTTTAGACTTTTAAAGCTGAGCAAAATCTGTCCCTTCTTGGAAAAGACCACAAATTGCACTTAACAGTGAAAATAATGCTCAACAATTTAAAGCTGCTGCTCTTAATCATGGAAGTGAGATCCAGCAGTGTAAAAATTCCTAAACCAAGGGCTGGTACTGGAGAAGAATGGAAAGAGATGGCTGGTGTGGTGCAAAATATTAGTTTTCCTAAGCTTTCTGAACACTCAAGTGCTGTTCTTTATTCCTCTTTTTTCCTTTTCTGTCCCCTGCTGGTGACTACTGTATGTACAGCTTAAATATAATTTTTTTTCTTATTCAGTCTGGAGAGAAAATGATGATTTTTCTCCAGCTAAAGGACAGTGCTTAAATTAGAAATGCTATCTCCTTGTTGGTAATGCAAGGGAAGCAATGCTCTCTGCTAAATTTGGATTTTTCACTTGCCTCTTACCTGTGGAGGACACCAAAATGCTGAGGTTGGGTTTCTGTGCTCCTGCAGCACAGCACAAAAATAAAAAGAAGCAACCTGGGATGGTGCTTTGACATCTCTGCTTTTGTTTGAGGCATGAGCAGATCATGAAGGGAGCTTCATCTCTTCTTGTGTTGCTCTCCCAGAGCTGTGCTAGGAAATAAAACATCCCTGACAGGAGCTGCACTGGGCCAGCCACGGGTTCAACAGATTTTTCTGATGTGTTCACTAACAAAGCCATTAACTTTTTGTTGATCTGTTTTCTGTTAAGCCTGACAATATTATCTTTTCTGACAGTTTCTCTTGTCTCGGTTAAGGAATGCAGAGCAGAGAGAGAAAGCTCTGGCCAGGCTTGTGCTGTTCTCTGTGACCTCTCTGAGGTGATTTTGCCTTCGAATGTGTTGTGGTTTTCTTGTAATTCTGTTGCTGATCTGTTAATTTATCACTGCAAGGGTTCCTTCCTTATGGATACATAATTACTTACTGTTCCCCTCTAGAGTTTTAACAAGTTCTACATCCTGAACAGAAAGGAAATCAACATCCTGAAGTAAATGAAGTTTTCATCTGGAAATTATGCAGAAAATGCAAATAATTAAGCTGTGTGTGAGCTGGTGTCCCAGTGTCTATGGGGTGAAACACAAAAGTGCTTCACTCCTCATTAGAACAGTGTGTGATATGTCCTTATCAGTACTGTGAGATGCTGTAAAAGTGAATTTCAGTTTGCCAGAACCCAGCAGAAGAGGAGAGAGCAGCTCCCAGCTGCAGAGCTCTGCCTCCCCCCCAGGAGAAGCTGCTTTGTTGTGTTGTGGTTGGCACAGTGGTTTCCTCTCCCATCTGTCATGAATTACATCAGCTTTTCATTGGCACGTCCTTCCCACTAAATAAATTTGTATGCTTGGAGTACACACTCCAGCAAGTTCTTTTAACTTCTTCATGGAGTTGTGCTCCCTGTCCTGGAGAGATCCAGAGGTGGAAGTTACAAAATTCCAGAGAAGGCGCCGTGGCTTTCATCAGCACTGTTCAAATACAGTTCAAATAGGTTGGATATTAGGAAAAAGCTTTTACAGAAAGGGTGATAAAGTTCTGGAATGGTCTGCCTGGGGAAGTGGTGCAATCCCCATCCCTGGGTGTGTTTAACAAAGCCTGGATGTGGCACTGGGTGCCAGGGTTGAGCTGAGGTGTTGGGGTGGACTCGATGACCTTGAAGGTCTCTTCCAACCCAGTGATTCTGTGAATTCTGTGAAATACAGTGGTTCTTCTACTGCCAGCCCAAAGCTGTTCTCCAGCTCTGGTTTATGTTCAGCTAAAGGTGTTTTATGTTCAGCTGATGGCAACACCTAGAGATAAAAACAGAGTTTACTCACTCCAGTCTCATGCCTGGTTTACATTGTGAGGAACCATCTCCTGTTCAGAGTCAAAACATCCATGACAGCCAGGATTTCAGGAGTGTCTCTTTGAGGTTTTAAGGGCAGGAGCAATCTCTGATAAAGGTAAAAAGTGTATTTATCCTAAGGGATGAGGGTAATTGTGCTGTCAGAGGTGTTTGGATGCCCAGCTGCTCAGGGCCCTGCATCTCCATTTTCACTGATTAACCTGATCATAAAGGCATTTGGCTTCGTGGGTGTTTTCTCTGATACTTAAAACAAAAATTTGGGGGTTATTCAATCTTCCATGTGACTACAACAGCAGAGACTTTCTCAGTGTCCTCTAAATTTGTTTAATACTCTCTTTAGTGGGTGTTTCTTCCAACGTGTGGATTCCCAACTGCATTGTTTCTCTCCAGAGGTGCTGCTATCTTATTTTTACAACAAAAACAACACCTTAAACCCCTTAACTCTGCATAAATATGATTAACAATGCATAAAGAGTTATTACCGACCAAAATGCAAACTGAGGTGTGGTTGGAAGCTGCCTTTTGGCAGCCATTGCTGGGCCTGTGGAAGATCCTGCTCTCTGTGTTGTCCCTCCTGGGTAAACATTTACATCTCACATGGCCCTTCCTTGGCAGGGCCAGCAGAGGTGAAGAATTGTTTAAACCTTTAAAGCTGCCTTAAAAGTTCAGGAAAATCTGAAAGATGAGCACTCCATGTGCTCTGGAGTGGGTCTAGAAAGGGGCTCAGCTCTGGTTTTGCCAGTGTTCTTTAATTTTTTTTTTCCTTTTACAATTAAACATCTTATACTCTACAGCTTGGATATTTTAAAGTTTACCAAGTCCAAGCACACTTGGTTGCAGGATGGCTTTTACACAAAAAACCCCATTATTTTTGTGTACTGGAACTGACCAAATATAATGGGACTCTTTCCAAAGCAGACAGGAAAGTGGGTGAAAAAAAAAGCTTTAATCTTCTATAAAAAACAATTATAGGTTACACTTCTGTTCTGAAGTTCTCCCTGTGTGTTTAAAGGGGTTTTCTCAGGCAACTGGATGTGAAACTTATTTTCTGATCCCTTTTTGAGAATAATATCCATTCAGTTTGGCTATAAGAATGTGTTTTGATTTTTTAATAGAACAGCTTGAATACTGCCAACACTGAACAACAAACTGACACAGGCTTCAGATCCCCCTCTTCTGGAATTCCATTTGGACTTGCAAAATAATTCCCTTAGAAATGGTAAACCCCATTTCTCCTCAGTTTTACTGAATTCTTGCTTAGACTGGAAATAATTCCAATATCCTGCTTCTGTCTCTCTAATGTCACTGTGAGTGATGTGTTCTACACTTAGAAATTGGTCAGAAAAGAATTTGGATTCTGAAGCCTGTTTAATTTCTTTGGCTGCAGATGGAGTCATTGTTTTTAGAATTTCTGGATTGTTTTGATCCCTGAGTTTTGAATCAAAAGGGACCATTTATGTTTTTGGAACTACTTTAAACCAGTTTTTATGCAGTCTCCTCCTGACAAAACCAGCCCTTAGGTAATGTCAGTTCTGAACCAAAATTTGTGTTCAACCTAATCTTGGGCCTGCTACTGCTTGGATTTGCCTTGGCAAATTGGGCTGTGTAAATGCTGGTATTTTCATGTGAATATAATATAAAATACCCTCAAAACATTTGCTTTCCAGTGATATTATTCTTCGTAATATTGCTGATATTGGCTATCTGCTGTTAGGTGTTTGTTAGGGGTAAATGCTGTTCCTGCAGAGGTGAAGATTTTAGAGCAGAGACAAATTGAGATGTGCAATGTAAAAATTAGACTGAGTCAGAATTGCAGGAGAAGAAAGGAGGAGGATTTTGGTTTGGTCCTGATTCTCAGTCAGTCACAAAGTGCTGTCACCATCAAGATTAATTGGTTTTAAGAATTCCCAGAAAAGGTGAAGGTTCCTGTCTGTTCCTTCCAACATCAACACCACCTAACACAAATTCCTGTTTTTTCTTGTGACCCTTGTTGAGGTTATTCTGTAACATTTTTGCTGTGACAGTGTTGTTTTGTAACTTCCATTCCTGTTCTCCAGGACACAACCTGCATTTTAATAGTTGGATAAAAGCAGAAAATGAGGACTCCTCTCCTTGATTTATAAATATTTATAATGGAGCAAGGCTCCAATAGCCACACACTGAATTTCTGCCCGGGTGACTTTCCTTAATGTTCCCATGGGAATGCCAGTGGCCCCTGGCTGAATACAGATGAGAGCTGTTCCTATTTTATCTAAACCATGGAATATCAGAGTGCCACAATGTGGGTGTGCAGTAATTCCTGCTCTCAGTCAAGCCTGGTGGTTTGGATCCCAGGGATGGATTGGGATGGGAAACTAATCCTGAAACAGGGCAGGAAATTCAGAGCTGGCTCAGCTGCAGTCCCAGGCCACTGCAGATTATTGAAAGCTGGGCATGGCTTTGTGTTCTGCTCATGTGCACACAGGAGAGCAGAGAAAATTGTGATAAACATCCCCTGGCTTCCTGCAGCTCCTTCCTGTGACGCAAACCAGGGAGGGCAGCTCAGAGCCAGGCTCTGGAGGAGCCCATTCCCATTTCCTGGCTTCAGGGAATTTTCCTGAGTAGGTTTGGAGGAGCCCCATTCCCATTTCCTGGCTTTAGGGAATTTTTCCAAATAGGTTTGTGCCCTTTTTTAATTTTTATTTTGAAATGATTGCACAAGAGCACAGCCATGACACTGGGATGATCAGTCTTTATGCTACAGTAGACAGGATGGTAAAACTTTTCAAGTATGCTTCTGTTTTGGAAAAAAAAAAAAAAGAACAGAATACTTTTTTTTGCCATTTATGTTTATTCTCAGAAGAAAAGAGCTTTTAAAAATTATCCTCTAGAGAGAAGACAACATGTTGCCAGGACATTTAATGTTCTAGCATTAGGGGATGCTAGCAACACAAAACTTATTTTCTTTTTTTTCTCTTTCCCTTAACAAGCTCTTCAGTATTCCAAACAATAGTGAATGAGGGCCTTGAGTAGTATAAATTTTTGTTTGTTTTTCCAGGTCTATAAAGGTGAATTTCAGCTTCCTGACTTCCTCAAAGAAGTGCCACAGGTACAGTATTGAATTAATTTCCTTTTTGTGGGTGTAGCAGCAAAGGATATCAAACAGCCTTTGTAAACCACTTCTTCATGAGCTTGATTTTCTGATTGATGGTGAGATTTGCTAATTATCCATGGGGTGGAATCTGGAACTCAGCATCCCAAACCTCTCCTGAATCCATGTGTAACTCCAGAGTGAAGAGTGGTGTTTGTCACCCTGAGCTGCCTGAATATGCTGTGAAATGGAAAGAAAAATTGAGCCTCTTTTGTGGACCAAACTGCAAAGTTTGTTGCTTGTAGAGGAGCTTTGTCTTTTCTTATCTTGGTTTAAAGCAAGTCTAGTCCAGAGGGCAGAGTTATAAGTACTGAGAGATTTTAAAAATAAATAGAGATGTTACCAAAGTCAACAAACCCAGCCATGGATAGGGGTGGTGTTGATTTAATAGCTAAGTGTGCTATGGAACTTCTGGTTTTACTGAAAATTCACAATTTGGTACCCCCCAAATGCTGTTCTTTGTCATCAGCTCCCTAAGGGACCTGCAAAAAAAAAAAAAAAAAAAAATGTAGATGGGGCCCTTATTGTGAAGCTCTCAAACTGTAGGATCTTGTGGGTATCACAGAATTGTAAATTCCCAGAATGGTTTGGGTTGAAGGGACCTTAAAAATAGGTTTTTTTCCACCCCCTGCCATGGGCAAGGACACCTTCCACTATCCCAGCTTGCTCCAAGCCCTGTCCAACCTGGCCTTGGACACTGCCAGGGATGGGACAGGTTAAAAATACCCAGGAATCTACCACAGACAAAGCATTTTGACTTCTCCATTTGTTCAAATAAAAATGATTTGATTAAAAAGGAAAACTGATTTCTTTTGTTCCAGCCGAAGAAGACAGTAGAAAGGAGGTCTCGTGGCAAGATAAAATGAACGTGGAGCAGTAAAGTGGCATAGCTGTAGTGTGTGTTTCATGTTTTCAGAAAATAACCCTGCTGTGGCCACCAAATCTTTCTGAGCAGCCTTTGTGTGATCTCTAACGTGGGCTTGGCTTTTCCCTGGCTGTTTGCCTGCTTGGATCACTCGGTGCTCCTGCTTTGCTCAGCTCTGGAGAACCATCCCAGCCCTGTTGCTGCCAGCATTGTCCCTGTCACTGAGTGTCTGCTCCATGTGTGCTGCTGAACTCACAGGAGCCTGCTGGGGTCACTTCCACATGGGATTGCTGCTGGGATTGCAGGATTAACTATCAGAAAGCTGCAGGAATGGGGTGTGCCTTACCAGGAGGGGAAATACTGCTGAGAGGGATTTATGGAAAATGCAGGGAGATCCTTCAGACTTGAGCACACAGTGTGTAGATGGTGTGCTAGCAAAAAAAATCCTTGATTTTGAATAAATCCTGGGTTAAATCCTTTAAATCCTTGTTTGCATACAGTATCAGTTAAATTATGTTGTTTGTGGTTTTCAGTTATCCTGGGGTACCCAGAAGAACCTGGGCCACTCTGCCTGATAAATTCCTTCTTCACTCCATAGGATAGGGAGGTTCCTGCTAAATTCCAGGAGGTGAATTTATACAATTAGCTTGGTTTAAATACAGTATTTACCAAAATCTGAGCAGATTTATCCATAGCAAAGACAGACCATCCAAAAGACAAAAATAAACACTGTGGAAGAGTCAAAGAATATTCCTTAAACCATAAAAACCTGATCAAATTGATGCTGATAGTGTTCTCCTTTAGTGTTAACATAATGTAACTAAAGAGCTCAAAGGTTTGAAGAGCAGACATCAGTACTGATATTTTTGTCCTCTAATGTAAAATAGCTCATTTAATTTTAATTTTTTTGACAGACTGAACCTATGGAATAGAAGATAAAATGGACATTTCTTGCACAGAAGGTAATAAAAGAGTGTTTCAGTTCTGCTCATTTGTTGTTCTTAATTCAAGATGATTTTTGTTTAACTTCTGTAACTCCATGGGTAAGATAAATATAAAGGTATGTTTTTTAAAGGAAGCTGCTAAAGATGAGCTGGTTTGTGATATTTGATTTAACATCTCATAGCCAGTGTTTTCAAAAAGCTGCATTTTAGTCACTGAATAAACAGTGACAAAATTACAGGGAGCTGAGTAAATTCCAGACTAGTTAAAGAATGAGTGATGCAAGGTTTCCTGTGTTAATCCAGGGTTTTTTCTGCTATCAGATGTTCTGGCCTGACAACAAAAGATGGCAAAATTTAAATCCAGTTTAAAAATAGCCCAAAGCAATATGCCCTACAAATATCCCCAAAATAGATCCTTACGTGGCCATAAATATAAACACCCTAAATATAGCCAAAAACACTGCTCTGTGTAGAAATAATGGCTCTAAAATCTTCCCAGAGATGAATTACAGACCTTCACTGTGAAATCAATAGATAAACCATCATCTGTTCACACAGCCAATTTAAAATAACCAAAGCATCAACCTCATTTTGCCACTTAGCTCTGAAAAATGGATTTCAACCTGCAATATTTCTGTCTGAAGCTGCTGCCCAGTTTCTGAGAAACCAAACTGGGACTTCCCAGCATAACTTCCCACTGGGTCACAAGGGTTTGGGATGTAAGTGGAAAATCAATATATTTTTTTGCACCATGCTGCAAGCAGTCTAATGAAAAAGGAGGGACAAAGCAGCCCCATCCCTTGCAGGAATGGGATTTGTCGTGGCAGTGGCTTTCCACCTGCTGAGACAACAGTGGCTACCCTTAATTCTGCATTATTTGTCATTCCACAAGCCTGTCCGGGATAAAAAGCTGAATATTACCAGGAAAACTCCAACATAACTTTATTTCTTTCTCCTTAGAAGATCAGCTGCTGCCTTTTCCATGGGAATGATCCCTCAGGCCTGTCCCCCTGGCATCAGAGGTGTGCTGCTCATGGCCTGCTCTCAGAATGTTCTCTCCTCTTGCTTTCATCCTGGTTTTGTTTCAAATTTTGCTGTTGTGAGCGCATGTAAACCTGTTAAAAAACAACAAAAAAAATCACTGATGTTAATGTACAACTGCTTTACATTCGCACAACTATTTTTTTAAGGTTTTAAAAAATGCAAAAGCAATGCCTGTCTCTGAAATTGCTCTTCTCTTTTAATTACAGGGCTCCATCTTCAGATTTTTTTTGTTTCTTGTAGCAGTTTGGTTTTAAATGTACAAAGCTTTCAAGAGTGGTCTGTGCTTGTCCTGAAAGATTCTTGGTGCAAAAGTTGTTTTATTCATATGTGAAAAATGTTAAATATCTTTTATTTAAAAAGGAAAAAAAGTTGATAAATTACATGTACAATTACAATTCAATGATCTTTTGTATTTTATTTTTCAAAATAAATGCTTTAAATGTGATTTTTGTTTATTTGTTTCTTAATTAATGGTCTTGTTTCCAACTTAATATTTAAATAATTCAAGATACTGATGTGTTAGTTATAATTCAAAATATTGATGTGAGGGAAGATATGATCTCATGTCCTGGCTTTGGATCTTATTTTAAGGTTTGTAATTTATTGCTTTTTGTTTGCTTTTAATAGCTGGGTGATGAAGAAATACTAAATTGGAGTGTCCCACTGAGAGGTGTAACGTGAGATTTGTTTGGTGCAGGTAGAAGTTGGTAATTTTAGCGTCCTGAATTTGTTCCTTAACAGCAATTTTGTTCAGAGATGCTCTGCTGGGGGGGATCTACTGCTGTGAGTTGTACCCTAAAGTTTCGCTCTTTAGGGTGCAATGTGGAACGTTATTATTTCCGTAAGTTATTTTTGGGATGGGTGTTGTGGCTCAATTCCTTCTCCCCTCGCTGGTTCAAGGCGGTGAAGGCGGTTTCCACCTTCCCCACTGGTTTTGAGACGCGTTCGTGCCAAAACATTTGTATTTCCCCGGATTGTGGATCTGACGGAGTTTTGCTTTTCCTCCGTTTCTCCCTCGTTCTGTGTGTGGTGATAAACCCGTGAGGAAGGGCGATCTGCGCGCTCCTTCCCACACGCGCTCCCGGGGCCTCCCCTGCTGCCGGCTGAGGGCAGCGCGGCCCCGAGGCCGCTCACTGACCCCGCTAACACGGCCGGGCGTTTCCCCGGAGCCGCTCGGCGCTGAGGGATCGCCCCGGTGCCGCCGCCGGTGCCGCCTGGGCGGCTCCTCCCGCCGGGACCCGGATGGGCCCGTACGTGACGCGGGGGCGCGGCCGCTCCCCCCGGGCCGGGCCGGAGCGCAGCCGCGGGCGGGCAGCAGGTGAGCGCGGGCGGGGACAGGCGGCCCCGCTCCCCTCAGCCCTCCCTCATCCCCTCCATCCCCGGCGGGGCTTTGCCCGCGGCCGGGGCTCCGGTACCGACCCGCGGCAGGTGAGGGAGCGGCGGGGAGGCCGCGGGGCTGGAGGGGTGAGGGGAGCGGAGGGACCGCGGCCGGGGCAGCCCCTCGCGAGCGGCGGTGCCGGTCAGGCTGTCACCCTGGCGAGGTGAGAGTTAAGAGATAATTATTAATTAATTATTAATGAATGATTGGTTATTTCCCTGACTGTTGGCGTGCCCGCCGCCTGGGTTTGTGCTGCTCCATCCAGGCGCTGTGGTGATGCCTGTGCTCCTCAGAGCTGTCAGAGGGCTCCGAGCTCTGAAGGCTGTGGCATTCCGTGAGGGGCAGTGCCAGCCCCGGTGTCCTGAGTTTGGATAACTAATGATGTCACAATAAACGTTGTTTTAGAACAAATATTAAAATTGTTAATATGGTGTGGCCCTTCAGAAGCACTTCCATTCTTATTTATCTGCCTGTGCATTGGACTGGGGTGGAAAAATTATTATGAACTGTAGAGAAGAGAAATTAAATCCCTCTCTGAGCTGAGCCAACCCTCTTAATGATGTCTGGAACTTCACAGTAGCTACTTATCTATGTTTATTAGGATCTAGAATTCATCTGTAAATTTTGGGGAAAGAAGGCTGTGAACACTCCCCCAGAAATGTGGAGATTTTGGTCTGATCAGGTCTCCATAAAGAACCTGTTTTGCTCAGGAGCATCCCAGATCTATCTGGCTTCACTCTGAACTCAATATTTCCTGTAAGAGCTGAGATCTAACAGAGTGCAGCATTATTAAGGCAGATTTTTCAATTTTCATCTTTTTTTTCGTGCTGATTTTGAGGGGAAGCATCCTTTAGTTAAATAAATATGCCAGATGTGCTTGTGCAAATAATCCTCCCCTTTCTTTATTTTATAGTGGTTTGAGAGAAGGTTTGGAGGTGGATAAAGCCTCTGGTGGTGGAATGTCTTTGTTAGGGAGTTGCGATGCTGCTGGGGACACCCTGGGAACGGGGATTTTACATAACGCAGTGTAAGGAGAGCAGCGGGCTTCTCTTTCAGTTATTATTTTTAACGTGCAGTTTGTCAGTGCATCCCATTCTCCCCTTGAGGATGGACTGAGAAGCCTTGGAGGGGTTAAACCCAGTTGATAATTAGCAGCGTGCTAAGGAGAGTTAATTATTCGTGTCTCACGTGCGCGTCCGTGTGTGCTGTGCTGCGCTGTGATGCAGCGGGCAGGGAAACGCCTGCTTTCCCTGGCTGCTGAGAAATCCCGGTTTTCCCATTTAATAAGGAATTCCAGAGCCCGGCCGAGCCCTCCCCGTGCCCGTCCCTGCTGCCGGCGAGCGGCTGAAGGTGACAGACGGAGCCGGGTGTCGCCAATGTGGCAGGGACGCGTCCCAGCATCCCGCCCCTGGCAGGGCCGTGTTCCTGCATCCCGCCCCTGGCGAGGGACAGGCTGGGACAGCGGCCACCCAAATTCTCCCAGCAAATGACATTTTCCTGCAAAGGCGCGCCGGAGCCAATCGCTCCCTGCACCGTGCAGCCAATGGATGCCGGGCTCTTCCAGCCCCTGCCAGCGGCTCCGCGGCTGGAGGGCCTTGGAGCAGCTGTGCCAGCGGCATTCCTGCCCGCAGCCCTCTCCGGGGGTGCCTGGCATCCCTGCTCCTCCTCCTCCCGGGAATAACGCTGCTGCTGGCAGCGCTCGGGGCGACGCGGCCGCTGCGGGGAGCGCGCCGGCGATTGGGGTAATTCGGGTGATTAATTTGGGTCTCCCTTCAGCACTGCCACGGCCTCCTACCCAGCAGAGCTGCTCCCCAGAGCCAGAGGGATGGTGGTAGTCACGGGGCAGAACAAAGTGAGTGCCACCCCGGATGATGCCATGTCGAGCTCGGATGCAGAGGATGATTTCCAAGAGCCGGCCACTCCCACCGCCACCCAGGCAGGACAAGCGCTACCTCTGCTGCCCCAGCAGGTAAGAGCTCACCTGCGACCGGCATGATCACGGCAGCACAGACTGCTCAGGTGCTGAAGAATTCAGGATTTCCTTGTGGATACTCAGCTCGCTTAACACGTTTGTATAAAACTCAGTCTCTTGAATGCATTTGAGTAGCTCGGCAGCTTTACTTACAAGCTCCATCCAGGTTTGGACTTGAGACATGCAATCAAGTGTTTATTCTGGGACTTAAGGCAGCCTGGGGGGGTGATAGTAAGATTTGAGGCCTGATGTAAACAAATGCTTTTTTTTTTTCAGTGTATAGTATAGTCTGGTTGTGTAAAGGAAACAGCAGAGTGCAAGTCCTAAGGTTGACCTGAGATTTCTTCCCTTTTTGTTCTTTTTGTGTAAGGCTGGGGAAGGAGTTTTGTTTTGTTCTTTCCTTTCTCCAAAAGAGCCAAGAGGAGGCATTAATATCTCAAATATCTGCCATTCCAGCTGAGTGATTTCTGCTGTTTCAGATTCCCAGCTACAATTAAACCACTCCCTGATTCCTCCCAGCATCCAAAGCATCCAAATTTTCACCCCTCAGAGCTCCCTGATCTGTGGCAGCGGGGCAGGAACCACCCATTGTCCCGGTGGCAAACTGCAAGTGCCTTTTGAAAGCTGTGCTGTCACCTTGCAGAGGACTGGCAGCTCCTTTCTGATGTCCTGGTTGCTTTTGCAGTTCCCAGAAGTTGTCCCACTGAACGTGGGGGGGATGTTTTTCACCACCAGACTGTCCACGCTGCGCAGGTACGAGGACACCATGCTGGCAGCCATGTTCAGCGGCAGGCACTACATCCCCACGGACGCTGAGGGCAGGTACTTCATCGACAGGGATGGCACCTACTTCGGGTATGTACAGACCCTCAGGGCAAGCTTGGCAAGTTCTTACTGAAAGCTTCTTTTTAGACTTGTTTTTAACAGTTCTTTTCCTTAGAGTGCAGCATTTAACACTGCACGCCTTCAAAGCATCGCAGGAGTAACTGCAGTTAAAAATTCTTTGTTGGTTGTGCAATGGGAAAGGAAAAAACAAGAAATGTTTTGGATTTGTGCATTGTCTCCCCTAGAGTATCTCCTTTCAAGGTATCAAGTTGTTTTGATGGTTTAAAGAAGTGTTTGGAAATAGGAAACTCCTTGCACAGCGCTGATTTTTAATTGATATTCAGTATCTGTAAGGAAGAGGGAATGGAAGGAATTAGTCTAGGATTCTTACACAGTTGAGAATACGATGTTTTTAATCTTTAAACAGGATATAACTGCTACAATAAAGCACAAGCCTTTAAAGAATTTGGTTTTCTGTTTTATTTTTGTTGGTAGTAGCATATTCCTTTACCTCCAGGATCCCTCCTGAGTGCTCAGCTTTTATTTTATTTTTGATTAAACTAACCATGATTACTAATGCTCTGTTTGAATTGAGGTGAGATTGCTACAAAAGGTGATCAGTGTTCATGGGTTCAGGTCTTTGCCCAAAGCACACATTGCAATTTATCCCAAATTTTGTGTTTCTCCTTTATAGACATTTCCTTATTGCCTTCAACAGAAGAGCATTGAATTATTTTCAAAGCACTTTTGAGTTGTACCATAATCTGGGACAGAGATAGATTAAGCCACTGTGTTTATTCTAAAATAATTGTGTCTTTACATGAGGCAGTTGTTGGAAAATCAATTAATTTGTGATGTTATCAACCTCAGTTGAAAATACAGCTGCAACAGAGAGCCAGGTTAGCAGGTGCTGTATTTGTTGTCATTCTAAGATTGCAGTAATGCTTCTTTTATTTGATAAGGTTTTCTTAGTTAACACTTACAAAGTGATTTCTTTGGTTTTTTTGATAAGGTTTTGTTGGTTAATACTTATAAGTGATTTTTCTCTCTGTCAAAAGATCCTGTTGCTGAACAGTGTTTCAGAACTACGAGGAAATGTTCTGTCTCTTTTTTAAAAATTCTGATTATTATTCTATAAATGGTCCTGATCTGTGATGAGAAACCTCCTTTGCAGATGTCCCATCCATTCAGCTGGATCTGTGTGGAATAAAATGTCCATGAAAATGATTCTCTGGGAAAATGCAAAAGTTTATTTAGTCCCAGACCTAAATTTGAAATGCGGTGACCACAATTGCTTTCCCATGAAACACTCTGGCCTCTTCTGTGTTATAAATGGTTTCCTCCACAATAAATGTTTGGTTTAAAAAACACTGATATTTTTTCAAATGAGTTTTGACATCAGCTGAGGCAAAATGTGAAATAATGGCTTGGAAACCTGAACGTGGCAAACAGTTTTACAAACAAATGTTGGGAATAAGGCTCATTTATTTCAGTTACTGTCTCAGTAGAGCAAACAATGAATATCCAGCATTTCCTGTCCTTTCCCACCTGCAGCAGTTTTGGCAGAAATGTGTTTGTTAATGATATTTTTGCCCTTTTTTTTTCAGAGACATACTAAACTTCCTACGATCTGGTGACCTGCCCCCCCGAGAGCGAGTGAGGTCAGTGTACAAGGAAGCTCAGTATTATTCCATAGGACCCTTGCTAGACAATCTAGAGGATATCCAGCCTCTTAAAGGAGAAAAAGTTAGACAAGCTTTCCTGGGCCTAATGCCATATTACAAAGGTAAATAAACAAAGTAGCACTGACTGTTTCTTCTAGTGGGATTCCAGTGTTAAACCTCGTGCTTTCAGTCTGCTCTCAGCTCCCAGACTGATCCCATTGCAGCTGGGAAGTTTATTCTGTATTTTTCATGCTGTTTGGATCTTTGAGGTCTCCACATCCTGCTGCATCCCAGGGTGTGGGTTTGTGTGCTTAAAAGGGAGCAAGGTTAGGCTGTAATGTTATCAAATGAGAGGGTTTGTCTGCATTTGTTTTGTCAGGACTTACAAGTGAATAAACTTGGCCTTGTAGTGAGGCCAGATTACTTGGGCATGTAATAAGGCCACCAGGCTCACCAGATAACTGAGATTGATTTGATTATTCTATATATTATATAATTATATAATATATAGATAATAATATATATTTATTATATAATATATTAATTTATATTTTTTGTTTAATAAGGCCACCAAGCTCACCAGATAACCAAGACAGATTTGATTATTCTATATATTATATAATTATATAATGTATATAACATTTTATATTAATTATATAATTATATATCAATTTTTATTTATTTTTATATATATTGTATAATAAGGCCACCAAGCTCACCAGATAACCAAAATTGATTTGATTATTCTATATTTTAATATACATATAATATTATATATAATAATATATATAATTTTATTACATTATTCTATGTAATCGTATATTATATTAAATGTAAAATATAAATTATGTCATTATATAATATATTAATTATTTTTAAAAATATAATAAGGCCACCAAGCTCACCAGATAATGAGATTGATTTGATTATTCTATATTTTGCTACCTGCTGCTAATCTCATGCTGAGAACAACTGCAGTGAAACGTTTCACATGCAATAACTGCTTTTGTTCTCTTTCCCTCGGCCCTTGGCTGGGACCCTCAATCTCTCTGTTTTCCAGACCACTTGGAGCGGATCATCGAGATAGCCAAGCTGCGAGCCATGCAGAGGAAGGCCAGGTTTGCCAAGCTGAAGGTGTGTGTGTTCAAGGAGGAGATGCCCATCACTCCCTACGAGTGCCCCCACTTCAACTCCCTGCGCTTCGAGCGCAGCGAGAGCGAGACCAAGCTCTTTGAGCACCACTGCGAGGTGGACGTGTCCTTCGGGCCCTGGGAGGCCGTGGCCGACGTCTACGACCTCCTGCACTGCATCGTCACCGACCTGTCCGCCCGCGGCATCACCGTGGACCACCAGTGCATCGGCGTGTGCGACAAGCACCTCATCAACCACTACTACTGCAAGCGCCCCATCTACGAGTTCAAGATCACCTGGTGGTGAGCAAAGCAAAGGGTCAGAGGACTCCCAGAGGACAAACGTTCTTTCAAAGTTGCCTGGTAGTGAGTATGGTGGCACATCGAGGGGTGAAAGGACTCCCAGAGGACAAATGTTCTTTCGAGATGGCCTTGTGGTGAGTGTGGTGGCACAGCAAGGGATGAAGGGACTTCTAGAGAACAAATTCTTTCAAGATTGCCTGGTGGTGTGGTGGCACATCGAGGGGTGAAAGGACTGCTAAAGGACAAATGTTCTTTTAAGATCACCTGGTGGTGAGTTGTGGTGGCACATTGAGGGGTGAAAGCACTCCTAGAGGACAAATTCTTTCAAGGTCACTTTGTGGTGAGTGTGGTGGCACATTGAGGGGTGAAAGCACTCCTAGAGGACAAATCTTCTTTCAAGGTCACCTGGTGGTGAGTGTGGTGGCACACTGAGGGGTGAAAGCACTCCTAGAGGACAAATTCTTTCAAGGTCACTTTGTGGTGAGTGTGGTGGTACTTCGAGGGGTGAAAGGATTTCTAGAGGACAAATGTTCTTTCAAGGTCACTTTGTGGTGAGTGTGGTGGCACATCGAGGGGGGAGAGGACTCCTAAAGGACAAATGTTCTTGGCAGTTACCTTGCTGCTCACATTCCTTGGGATCAGCCTGCTGGCAGGGGTTGGGAACACCTCTGGAAACTTGGAAAACCAGCCTGAAATCAGACTGTTGGCTCAGGTACCTTAACGAGGCACAAAACAAAATCACCTCATGCAAAGGATGGAGGCAAGTGGCTGAACATCTGCTAAAAGGTGCCACCAACCACGTGGCTTCAGGATGGAATTGCGGATTTTTCCTGCATTTTTGGGAATCTGGGGTGCTACTAAAGCTGACATTTCAGTTTTACCCTCTTAGAAATGTTTTAGTTCCTCCTTCAGCTTTATAAAGTTTGAGTCACACCCAGCACAAAGATCTGGAAATGTCATTTTGATGTACTAGATAATTTAAAAAAAAAAAAAGGAATATTCCTTATATATTATTAATTGTTGTCAGGATTAAACTGTATTTCTTTTTTAATTAAGAATCTATGTTGTGAATTATAATGTTGTACTTCAATTATTTCTGTTGTTATCAAAAGGAATAGCAGATCTGGCGTATATTCCTTAATGCTTTTAGGAATAATAACTGTTCATGGAAGACTTGTGCCTGTTTTTAGCCTTAGAAATTTTAAATGTTTACAATATATACAAAAAAAAAAAAGCTCTTTAGAATCAGGTCATTTGCAAAGGCTTTTGGTAAATGAGAGAACCCTGTCTGTACGTTCCTATCAGCAGTAGTGAGAGGAATATTTAATGTATATTATTTTATTACTGACTCTTTTTACATTCTGTGATATTAAACTTTATTTTAGACTTAAAGTCAGATGATATTAGACAAGTGCTTCCTTCACCTCACCTTTTTCAGACAATTAAATCTTAATTTTATCCTTCTTCTTGATCCTTCTTGATGTCGTAGAAGGAAAACCAAAATTCAAACTTCATACTCAGATACTTCTCCACTCTAAAGCAGTAGGAAATTCCTTTCCATGCTGGAAGAGGCAGCCACTGCAGAATCATATTTTCTTCAGAAGGTCATTGTTGTACTTCTGACATGAGCAACCACATCTCAAACTCCAACTACTGAATTCAGCCCAAAACAGAGGGAGAAAAGTCTGCAAATCTTATTGTTTTGTGAGGTACAGAAAACTCCAACCTCCTTGAAGGGGCTTCAAAATAATCTTAAAGAGAAAGGACAAGTAAACATTTGTATATGGCATTCTATTGGATTAATTAATCCTAGAATATTGCTTCATTAAACTTCTGACCAAAATTCTTCAGAAACATTAATGACAGTGATCAAAATTCTGTTTTCTGAGACAATTTTTAAAATAACTCCAAGAACTTAAGGATCAAATTGTCTTGCAAAGAAAGAGACCATTTTTTTGCCTTGTCACCCTTTTAGATATTTAATGTAGCAATGGAATTGTCTCTCTGAGGTGGGTGTCTCCCTGCTGAGCTCTGCAGTCCCCACACAGGATCATTGTCAAGTGTCGAGTTTCAAGGGCAGAGATAAATTTGAATAGAGGGAGTTCTGCACATTTGGATCTAAATTTAAGTTTCAATTGTTTCCTGAAATAATGGCCTTGGTGTTACAGGTTCTTGGAGTTGTGCTTGGCAACCCAAAATTAAAAGTTAAACTGAGATTAAAGTTTCCCTGCAAGGAGAGGAAGTTTTACTTGGTTTCTTTGCTGCTTTGCTGCCTTCATTTTTTCTTTCTCCCCAAGGAATCTAAACTGCAAACCACAATTTCTTAGAAAATTGAAGAACATCTTAAAGCTGAGCCTTACAAAGTTTTGGCTGCTTGTGCACTTCAGATATTTAAATTTGGAATTTTCAGTTGTTCAGAATTACAGATATTCAGAATTACAGATATTTCAGATGTTCAAAATTACAGATATTTACAATTTCAGATTGCAACAAGAATTGCAGTTTTACTGGAATTTTCAGTGAGTTGTTTTTTTTTTTTTTTGCAACTTCCCATAATTGTATTTACAGAACTCTGGCTGGAGTTCCAGCACTCCTTGCAGGAATGAATCACAATGTGATTTTCACTTTGTGTTTTCTGGTTTGGCTTTAGGAATTTCCCTGCTGTTATTCAGGAGAAGCTTTGATAACAAAATTCCTGTTTCAGTAATTTTGTTACTCCTTAATATTTTGGATTTTGTAACTTTTTCCTGTTCATTGCTTAAGTAATTAAGGAAGGCAACCCAACCAAAAAGAGAAAATGAAAAGCTTGGTCTGTATCAGCTGTCTTAATCAAAGTTCTCATCCTCCTGAAGACATTAAGTGCAATACTGGAAAGGAAAACATGAATTTTAGCCCACAGGTTTTAATTAGTGCTGGAATTTGTGATTTGTTCAGGTTAACAATATTTTAATTGTTCCAAGCAGTCTTTGTTTACAGGGATTTAGCTGCTCTTGCCCAGCCTGTGCTCATTTTTTGACAGAAGCAGAAGAATTGTGCAGGTGGATGGCAGGGGAGTGTGATCTAAAAACCGGGTTGTGGAACGTCATTGATTCTCTTTTCTGGGCCTGTAGCTTTTGAAATTCTACATTTGCAACAAAAATGTGAGTGGCTGATCTGCTAAATCCATGTTTGAGAGGACTGAGGATTTTTGTATAGAATTGTATCATTAAACTATGGAATACTGATTTTTTTTTCCTTTTCCTTTTTTCTTTGTTTTTTTTTTCTTTTTTCTTTTTTTTTTTTTCTTTCCTTCAGGACTTTTCTTTACATCTGGGCACATCAGAGTTCTGCTAATCCACATTTTTCTGTGCTCCCTTAGCTTTTTTTGCCACTTTATCATCTACACAGCCTCCACTTTTCCACCTTCACACTCCCAAATCCCTGTGTTTGTGAGCAGTAAATTGTCTCCTGTCCATTTGAATATTGGATGAATGGTGGGACAGTTGGGGGATATTTATTTAAAATTAGAATTGTCAACTATTTTTTACATTGCTGTGTGTGAACAAAAACATGACAAGGCAATTTTTTTTTAGCATTCCCTTTATATCAATTGTGGAGTGGTTTTTAACAGGGAACAAAGGGAGCTCTCATGTGAAGTGAGTTGGCCAATCCCACAGCACATGAAATGTTTCTGCATCTGGTTTATGCTTGTGAAATAGCAAGGGGAAAAAAAAGAAAATAATGATAGGAAAATAAAAAATAGGAAAATTTTAAAAAAGGAAAATGACCCTTATGAAGCACTCAAAAATGACATGAAAAGGTGTTTATGTACAGCAGCCACTTCATGGCTGCTGAGCTCAAGAGTTTAAAAAAAAAAATCTAAAAAGACTTTTGGACTCGGTGTAGACTTTTAACTTGAATGCCCAGTATTCTGCACAGGAATCTGAAATATTCCTTGCTGACCTTCCATCCTCCTCAGAGGAAAGTGAAGGTGCTGCCAGCTTTGGCCTGGGAAGCCTTTGTGCCATAAACAGATCCTCTGTGCTCCCTGTGGGGCATGTGCTGGATTTTTATTTTTCTTTTAACCTATAATGAGGGATCAGTTGGGTTTTTTTCCCCTAAAAAGCTAATTACTGATATAATTAAAGGTTTTGTAGCTTCATTTGGCATTTGCAAGCCCTGGGAGCCCTCGTTGCCAGGTTCATCCTCACTGCTCGTTGTTTGGAGGTGACAAGGGATGTGATGAGGGGGGTGATGGACGTGGCAGCAGGGAAGAATTCCTGTCAGAGCTGCTTGTTCCCATTGCAGAGCTGCTCTTTGTGTTTGGCTTCAGCTCTTGGTTTGCGTGGGGCACAGAACATCCACCCCATTTGTGTGAGCCCTCCACTGCGCTCCCATTTGTGTGTAAATCCATGGAGTTGTGGTTCTGGGAGACAAAAGGGTGAGAAAACCCAGGGCTGTGGATTGCAGCAGTGACAAGTGAGTCTTGCAGGGTCACACTGCTGGAATCTGGTTTACAGCACCTTGATGTCACAGCTTCTCTGTGACATTTTCTTTTTTTTTCTGTGACATTTTCTTTCTTTTCTGCATGGCAAAGCAGAGTGGTCACTTGGGAAACAACTGCCTGGCAGGTAAGGGGAGACTTCAGAGCAGACACCACAAAAAAAAATGATCCCTTAACTCATTCTAAGCTCTGGGATAGATTTATTGAACATCTTTTAATGACTACTTTACTCTAGGCAATTTGTAGACCCTGCTGGCTTTAAGTTGTGGTTGGCATTACTGAGCCCTGAAGACGACCCAAGATAGTTCTAAATTTTGGGCTATGACAAAAAACAAAACAAAACAACAAACCTCCAGTCTTTCATTATCTTTCTGCAAATAAGCTGATTTCAGAGGATAATTTTTCTGCATGGCAAAGCAGAGTGGTCACTTGGGAAACAACTGCCTGGCAGGTAAGGGGAGACTTCAGAGCAGACACCACAAAAAAAAATGATCCCTTAACTCATTCTAAGCTCTGGGATAGATTTATTGAACATCTTTTAATGACTACTTTACTCTAGGCAATTTGTAGACCCTGCTGGCTTTAAGTTGTGGTTGGCATTACTGAGCCCTGAAGACGACCCAAGATAGTTCTAAATTTTGGGCTATGACAAAAAACAGAACAAAACCAGTCTTTCATTATCTTTCTGCAAATAAGCTGATTTCAGAGGATAATTCTATCTCCTGTATATAATTCTCTAACTGGAAATCACCTTCCAGAACAGCAGTTCATGGTCATTTTACTTACACGAGCTTAGTAGAAGTTTACCTCCACTTTCACTGTGACTTTTATAAATGGATTTTGTTTTGCTGAATTATAAATTGTATGTGTCTATGCATTGTAACCCGTAATGCCTTTGAAAATCCAGCCTGGATGCTAACGATCAGGGTTTGGAATTATCTCCAAATGAGTTGTGTTAATAATTATGTTGATGTGTGGTGTTCAATACTGTGAGTACTGCAGTGTATTATTTCTTAATACTTTTGACTTTTCAGTTCAGGTAATATATGTTTTTTTATTTAAAACACATAGGAAAAAATGTGGATATAAGGGTTGTGTTGTGCAATAAAAGATTATGATACTGAAAACTTGCAATTCTGGCTCATCTGGTCTGCAGCCACTGCAGTGCTTTTCCTCACCTTCCCTGGGATTTGAGTGTGCTTTGCCTGACTGCAAATGAAAACTAAGCCAGGAATGTGTGTCCCGGGCTGTTCTAATGGCATTGAGGTGTTCATCATCGCTTCCTGAGCAGGGGCACTGTCAGGGACACCGGCGGGATGGATCATTGCAATGACTGATCCCATCCCTCCCGCACCCATTCCTGTGACCGAGCACAGCAGCTGCCCCTGGTTCTGCAGTGCTCGAAAAGAACCTTTCTGCCTCTGTTCAGAAGAATTTCTCATTTTCTGAAGTAATTTCTTTCTGTCCATCTGTCCGGCTGAAGTGCTCCCTGTCTTACAGCAGGATGTCCGTGCTGAGAAAAAAAAAAAAAAAAAAGGGTTAAAAAAAAAAAAAAAAAAAAAAAGGGGAACCAGCACTCAACACTGTATAACTGAGCATGGAAAGAGGAGTTTGAAATAGCAGCGGATATTTTTATATTCCCCCAAGGCAGCTCCGGGGTGCTCGTGTGGGGCCAGGGCCGGGCCCTGGAGCCCTGGGAGCTGCTGCGGGCTCTGGAGAAGGAAGGGAGGCTGCAAGGTGAGAACTCGCCACGATGGAAGAGGGCTCGATAACAAAAAAGCAGAGGAGAGGGGCTGTGGGTGCATTCACAGCACAGCCCGGCCGTGTGCCAGCCCCGCTCGCCCTCACCGCAGCCGCCAGCGGCCCCCTCAGCCCGCGGCCGCCGCTCCGCCCAGCCCGGCCGGGCCCCGCTTCCTTCCGGGCTCGGTCCCGCCCCGGAGGTGCCGCCCGCCCTTCCGCCGGAGCCGAGGGAGGGACGGGGGAGGGCCCGAGCAGCGCCGGGGCCGTGAGGGGCTGCGGCGGCAGCAGCGCAGCGGAGCGG